ATAAATAAAAGAATACGTAAACTAATCAGTATTTTTTATTTATTTCAATATTATATTTTATTATATTATATTTTATATTATTTCAATATTATATTTTATTATATTATTTTTATATTATTTCAATATTATATTTTATTATAATATATTTTTTATTTATTTCAATATTATATTTTATTATAATATATTTTATATTATTTCAATATTATATTTTATTATATTATATTTAATAGTTGTATAATTGAATGTAGATAATGATCAATTTAGTATTAACTTAAATAATAGAAAAAAATAATTTTTAAATGATAAAAATTAAAAAAAGAAATATTTGTAAATTATAATTTATCGTATAATTAAATGAAGATATAATTGAATGTACAATAGAATTTTAATTGGAAAAATTTCAAGCGACATATTTAACCATTACTTATAATTTGTTATAATCATATCTTACAAAATGAATATAACATCAATAAAATTCAATTAAACGAGTTAGATATTTTTCGAAGAAAATATATAAAATTAAATACTTCGGATCAGGGTAGATTCTGTATAACGGATGAATTATGCAGGTATTATGTTTAAGAGTATAAGAATACAAGCAGCAGCAACAGCAGCATCAAGAAACAACTTCTCGTGAATCTTAAGACGATTATTCTGTCGTCGGTTACTCGACCGACTGACTCACTCTCCACTAATTCTCTAATTGGAGAGGCCCAATTTCTGCGTTAGATGAAGAACGAGGGTCGTAAACGCGTCACAACGGACAGGGCCCTTCTAAGCGGATTACTAGCCAATTGTGTTCTGATTGTCAAATATGTATGTAATACAATTTATGTATTCCCATTGTAAATATTAAATTTAAGGAAGCTTAGAGTTAATCCTCCAAATTTCATTTCTAAATAAATAGGATAATCCTTCCCTAAATTTTATATATAACGTAAGTCAGGGGAATATGCTACAACTAAGGAAAAAATCAATTTAAATAGTGTATAAATAAATTTAATGAAACATTGCCTCTATTTATTATATGCACAATAACATTTGTCTAAATATTGATTTATTTAATAATTAATAAGAATAAATTAGTGCGTGTTGAAAGTGGCATATTCCCCACATGTAGGGGTAATATGCCACTTACTCAAAAAAGAACTTCATTTCATATAAATATCACAAATAACTCGTAATTTAATACTTTTACAGTATAACAAATATAATTTCGATTAACTACATTAATAATTATAATAAATAGCTTCAAAAAAAACGAGATAACAATAATAAATTTGACAAATTTTATGATTTACATACAGGACAAGTTTCACTTTCACAACAACTTTCGTGCATCCATTTTTCACATTTGCCACATTGCACCCAATCGTATTTCGGTCCTTTCTTACTATCAAAACTTATGTGGCTCACAGGACAAAAGTCTCCACTGGCATATATTACCCCAACTCATTTTGTGGCATTTTGCCCCAAATGCACAAAAAAAATGTTAAAGTAAAAAAAAAAGAAAAAATCTTACTTGTTATGTTTTAAAATCAGTGTCGTTATGAAATATTATTAATTCTACACAATATACAAAAACTCGTTTTAAGAAAAACGTATAAATATGATAGAAAATAAACATTAAATTTAGAGAAAATTGTAGATTTTCACCAAATTAATCCAACTGTGTCTAGAAAGCAACTGAAAACTACGTCAGTATACTGTAGTATTTACTCAGTATGGTCATCTTTACATAATAAACATCTCAATCTTGCTCCTATCGATATCTTAATATATATAAATAACGTGTCACTTTGTTTGTCCGCAATGGATTCTTAAACTACTAAACCGATTTTAATAAAATTTTGCACACTGTGTGCAGTTTCATTCAACTTGAAAGATAGAATAGTTTATATCTCAATTAATAATCGCAATATTATTTGTTTATTAACAAAGAGTCATGATTATCTCTGTTAGTTTGATAAGATTCTAACAGATGGCGGTATAAAGTAATTCGTTGATTTAAAGATGCGTGTTATCGGACTGATTTTGAGCCATAGCACCCCTAGTCTATTTATAATTATAGGAGATATAGCAAAGTAGCATATTCCCCCGACTCACCTTATACATATATATTGATGGGTTGCGTCAGAATTGTTTTTGTGATGACTTCAAAAAAAATAAAATAAATTTACTAAAAAATAAAAAAAAGTATAGAACTAAAACAAGTTTGTATTACTAATAGTGCATAGTACTTTGGAATTCTCGAAGACTCTTACGGAAATTGTGGGAAACTCCTGGGGATCATCGGGAAAAATGTGGGGAATCTTATGGGGATTGGTCAGTGTAGCGATTGGGGAAGAATTATTGAAAAGGTGAGGGTATTGTCAATGTTCGAGGTAGGAGTATTTAGTAAAGAGGGGGATGGTAAGGGGACAGCATTTAATAAGAGTATTTTGATAGAAAAGAATTATTATCTCTTGAAATTTCAAATATTTCTATTTATCCTTTTTATTACATAAAAAAGAAACTTTAAATTGATAGATATTAGTAAGTAACAAATTTCTAAATAAATAATATGAAATATTATTAAATTAATAACTTACAATTATTTATACGTAAAAAAATAAAATAATAAATAATTAATATCTATGATTTTTGTTTTGTTTTATACAATATCAGTTGAATAAATTCGTTTATTCATTTTTTCAGACAAAACCTGTGTATCAATCGTTTAATATACTCTTATCTTTAAAAAGGTTGTCATCGTCATTGTAACGGGGTAAAGAATAAATTCGTTTTTTCGAACGTAGCAACGGAAGTGGAGAAGCGATAAGCGGCGCCCTTTAAAACCGACTCCTCGGAATTTCGATTCCATCGTGAATGGACTCCCTGTTGCACGTTTCTCCTTAGAGAAAGTCACTACTACGTTATGGGCCGGCCCTTCGTGCCTACATAAGCGCATTTGAATGGGGAATCTTCGAAGGTCACTAAAGAAGTGTTTTTTTATTGAATAAAAGGACGACAAGAGAGAGAGAGTGAGAGAGAGAGAGAGAGAGACAGAGTAGTTTCCTCTCTTCTTTCTTTTACACAAAACAACAAAATTACGATGATTACGAAAAAAAAAAGAATATTTACAAATAAATATCTGTACTTTTAACATTAGATTCTAATCATTTGCTTATTTTTTATTTCTTTTTTTATTTATGTAATTGATACGTTCGAACTTAGTTTTACGTATTAACATAACATTTTAGTTAAGATAGAATAGTTTGTTCTGATGATTACAAAATAAAATATTACTTGTCGGAACATTTGTTCAGGAATCTTATAATTCGACACATCCTTATCTTCAAGATAAGGAAAGAAAGTCAGATGTGTTCATCCACATATCTAGGTTGAATAATTGGATCAATAAACATTATCTTCCAACCATAATTTTAAATATAAATGTGGATACATATATATAATTATTATTATTATTATTATTATTATTATTAAATTATTAATTAAATTAACTCTGTGTGTGTGGGGAGGGGTGGATATATATATTATATAGTAACACATTTATATTTATTATTATTATATATTTTATATTAATACTAGGGGTGTTTATACTAGGCGTTGCTGTGGCTCACAATCAGTCCGATATACACGTACCTTATACCGCCATCTGTTAGAATCTTATCTAACTAACAGACATAATCATGACTCTTTGTTAATAAATAAATAATATTGCGATTATAAATTGAGATTATGAACTATCCTATCTTTCAAGTTGGATGAGACTGCACACAGGGTGTAAAATTTGATTAAAATCGGTTCAGTAGTTTAGGAGTCCATCTCGGACAAACAATGTGACACGTAATTTATATACATTAAGATATTTATTTATTATTATTATTATTATATAATATAAAAATAATAATGAATTTTATATATGTTATTACAGAAAAATTTGATTTGATCAATAAATATTAACAATAATATTTTTCCTTCAAAAATACAACAATAATATAAA